TGTTTGAACAGCAGGGAGAAAAGAACAAGGTTAGGGGCGATATGAGTTGTTAGGGGGAAATGAAATATTCCCGTGCGATAGTTTTTTATCGGCTACCGTCGAGTGTCGAACAGTCAAGACTGGCTATTAGTGGCAACAAACAGTAGGGCTATCAAGAGAATTGGTGTTAGTTTGATCTAAGGACAAGGTCAAAAATTTACTTAGACAATTATTTATGGGAAATTTGGTCGAGGGAAAGATCAATTTTGTCGAGGAGAAAACTAGTTTTATCGAGAAGGAGTTGAGTTAGGCCGATACAAGCAAGCGGTGATCGAATGGGATCGAATATGAAGAAAACAAGGTTTATAGTGGTTAGATGACTTAGCAATTTCGTTTGGAGAATTTAGAAGTTTTGCCAAGTTAGAATGGGTAAAGATCATTGTCAGCGTATAGTGGTCGAAAGAGCTTTCAGTACGAACGTATACTGCGAGAGAATAGAATGAATGGTCTATGGACCAAGTGAGGTGCGTGAAAGCTGATGTGTGGTAAAGGTGCTTACGTTTACCACATTGTGCCACACGACCAGATGAGAGATGCTTGTGCTATGCGTAAGCTTAAGTGTGGATAAGATAAAGATAAGAATTTTGATAGATTTATCCAACATCTCGTGCTTCCTTAGCTTGGGAACCAAGCTTCCTCTCCCTATATAAAGCCACAAAATCCATAAAAATCCCACCTTAGACTAGTTAGATCGTTAGATAGTTTCGAGAAGCTGGTTGGGTAGAAGTTGGACAAGTCGAGAGTCGTGGTTGGGTATCCGGTAAGTAAGTTCGGCCTTTAGTCTTTTATTCTTTCTAGAATATTTTTCTAAGTTCTTGGTTCGATCCGAAGCTTAGATCCATCGTTGGAGAAAGCTAGTCGGATCGAGATCAATAGGCGGTCAAGGATAGAATGTCGTTTCTCGACAATAAGGCCAAGGTGAGTACCGAAGCATGTGTAGTAGCACATGTCTAGGTTTTACTTAGTGTGTTAGTTTATGATTGAGGTTTCATGCTTATACATAGTGTAAATCATGCATAAAAGTTAGATCTACGTTTCTACAGGAGATCGACTCGATTGTTTGGTCTAGATCTTCCTTTCTTCTTGATTTATTTTGTTTGATCTATTAATTGAGGTTTAGATAGTCGTTAGTATAGCCGTTATGCTGTTTGTATAATTGTAATGCTGCCGATCTAGCCGTTAGGCTATAGACATAGTCTTTATGTTATTATGAAATTGCTTATGCAATTTTATATGGTTCGGCTAAACGTTGGTATAGCAGATATACTAGTTTTTTGTTTCATGGTCAATAATTGTTAAATATTGGCATGATAAGCAAGCGTTATTTATTGTGTATTGGTTATTGTATTTTTATTATTATGCATTGTTGTTTGATTGTAAAATTAATTGAATGATTGATTTTTGTTAGTTAATCTTGTTGTCGTTCGATTGACTTGTATGTTACGAGTAGTAACGATTACGTTAGGCTCGTATTAAGTAGTGGTGTTAGTCATTTCTATGACAAATATATAGCGAGTTCATGATTGTCCCAATAGCTCGGACTAGCTAGCTTGACGAAGTAGTAAATTTGGTTGTTAGGGAAATGGTCCCTTTATTCACGGGTTAGGGAAGGGATGTGATCTTTCTAGCCTTTGTGGCTAAGGGTCGGAGACATTGCCTTGGGGGTAATCAAAATCGCATTAGTAGTAAAGGCCTTAAGGTTTGGTAGTTATTTTTGTGATGGCTTTTCTGCCATATTGATTGTGTTATTTAGCTTCCGTTGTGAATACTCTGTACTGAGTATGATAGCTTGTTTAAACATTGATTGTGTGTTGTGTGTGTTGATGGTTGTTGGGAATTGGGATGATTGATTGTTAGAAAACCCGGACTCACTGAGTAATCTTAGATAACTCAGAATTCTTCTTTTGTCTTACATGTAACCTTAGTTGGGAGACTTATGGGGAAAGCACGGATGCTAAAAGCCGGTGTAGATTTTGTTGCCTTTGTAAAAATAGATTTGATATTATTGACTGGATTTGGGCCTTATGCTCTGGGATCCCAATCCAATGTAAACGGTTTCAACATTTTATCAATAAAGGTGGTATTTTCTAAAATCCCTTGTGTTCTACTCGATATTAGTCTTGTCCGGACTAACACAACTCGCGGACATGGTACGAGTTGAAAAGCCTTAGGCCTTGATCGAGAGAAATGATACCCGTAGATGGACTGACTAAGGTGCTGAATTTGTTTTAGTAACCTCGGTCGGATAGTTTACGGGCATTGCATGTGACGCTCCCATTTTGTCCTTAGTTCTAGGGCGGTTCGCGGGTGTTACAAGAGTGGTATCAGAGCAAGGTTAATTAACGCTCATGGGACACAAGTTTTCAAAATGTTTTATCGAGTCAAAATGAGTCGCAAGGGTAACTTTAGGAAATTGGTGCGTGCACGTGCTATAGGTAGATGGGATAGGATAGGATGGGTTAGGATTTACCCTTTCGATGGTTGTGCAGATATCGTGTGGAGAGATGAAAGAAGGACAGTTGTGGAGAACGTTTCAAGGCTAATAATTTGTGGTGGAGAACTCATATGATGAAGACGTTATTGCAAAAAAAGATGAAAGTACACGAAGGCTTTTTATGTTGAGAAATATAGTATATAAGTAGTTCGGAGATGAAGTGAGGAAGTAAGACAAGAGTAGCTGTTTTTGAGTAATCCATAAAGAAGGACGACGAGACGCATGCGTAGAATTGTGTGAGGCAGCATGTCAATGGTGTTGAAGGAAGAACGATCAAGTAGTTGTGTGTGCTTGAACAACCGAGGAAGAGAATTAACGAAGGAAGTTGATGGAGACCATAATCCACAAGGTGTTGCTAAGAAGTGATATAGAAAGAGATACTATAAGTACAAGAAGTGATCCAGCAAAGTGCAAGAGGAAGTTGAGTTCTCACTCGATTTAGTCTGTGTAGTCGTTTTTCTAACCACTATGACCTGTCTATTAATCCTGAGAACAAAGAAGTGAAGACACAAGTGAGTTGTATTTAAACATTACGAATATATTACCCTAACCTCTATGACCTTAAGAGGTCTTGGCAAAGGTACGTATAAGTTTTAACTTCTCTTTTGTGTGTGGTTGTTGCTTGCATTTTTTTATAGTGCTGGTAAAGATTTGTTAGAAGGTTGCTTGCTTTAATTTTTCAAGGTTACCGCTTGCATTTATGATTTTGCTATTTTCGTAACTAATTTTGTTAATAAGTTTGTATTGAATATTATCCAAAAACAGATGCGAGTGTGGTTAGTGCATGGAAATTCTGTTAAATAAATGGAGTTGATTATGGTGAATTATACATGTCTGTAATAGATATGTTTTGAATGATCAATCTCTAACGGATTGTATTTGTAAATATATTATTGATTACTTGCTCTGCTATATAATTGTGCATCTAACAAAATAACTCTTGAATTACTGTGATTTATATAATTTGATACATAATTTATCACTAAAACTTATTTGTATTATAAATTTGATTTAATCAATATTTGAATACTATATTTTGTTAATAAGACTTTGTATGTACCATTGTTAAAATTTTATTTAATTATGTTCTTTAAGACCCGTAAAAATGAACAATGTTGCATATGATTTATTTTTGGCATTACAAAGTATTTAATTGTAACACTTAAGTAGTGTGTATCATGTTCTGACCCGTTTCAAAAAATTTCTGACCCGTTTCTAATATTTTAAATATTCTATAAATTTTTTATATGTGAAAATTTTAAAGGTTTTACTATTAAAATATTTTAAATTTGTAAAACATTGAAAAATTGAAATATTTAACCAACCCACTTAGATTTAACCTATATATTTGACCAACCCGATTTAGATATCCAAATAGGATTTCAAGTTTATAATGATATTTTCTTTTTCAATTGAGTAATATATATCTGTTTTGAAAAATTCAAAATGCAACATATTTTTAAAAAGATAATTTTTTTTTCAATATTTATATTATATGTTTTAATATAATAAATTTAAATAAGATCAAATAAAGGTGAAAGGAGAATAATAATTTTTGTTTTAATTTATTATTTTAAATTAGTTATAGAAATATTAAAAAATCCGAAATCTAGATATAGAAATAATATAATACGCTGAAAAAGTATCCGATTTATATCCAAACCCATTTAAATATCCGATTCTGAAGTATCCAATTGTTTAATTTTGGGTTAATTTTTAATTTTGACCCGACCCATCAACCAATGTAAAAGTGTACTTCTCTTTTACTACATAGGGATATAGATATAGATATATATATATATATATATATATATATATATATATATATATATATATATCTATATCTATTTAGATCTTAGAAAGCTTGTAGATTTATAGGTGTTTATAAGCATGTTCGAAAAGCATGTATCCCGGAAAAAACAACCAAACCAAAAATATTGAATCGAAAACGAACTAAGAAGGAAGAAACGAACTGAACCGAAACGAATATAATAACTGAACCAAAAAATCGAACCAAAACTGAATCGAAGAAAAGAAGAATCAAACTGAACAGAAACCAATATAATAACCTAACAGATAGTAAACTTGAGATCTAAAAAGCCAAAATAAAACCATTCCTTACCAAAACAAATTATTGTATTTTTGTTATATTATATTTACAGATTAATATATATATATATACATGGTTTTTTTTTATCATATTGGGCTTCCTAAATTGGAGACAAAATAATTAGAAAATTAAGAAACAGGAGATTGGCACAGTCAAACCAAACAATAAATAAAAAGGACTAAAATCTCTTGTACCCTTTGACTGCTTCTTCTATTCTCTTAAGGGTTTGACCAAAAGGAAAAAAAAAATTAATTAAAAAAATCGAAAATTGGTTAAAATACAAACTTATCCTCACTAAAATAAAACAATTACAGATCCAACCACCTTATATCCGAAAATCCATATCACTATCGGATATCCATCGGATCCTTTACCTCTTTGTCTTCCTCTTCATCGTTTCAAAAATCAAAAGTCCCCCAAAATCTAAGTGTTTTGAAAAATCTGAAAATCAGAAGCAGTTCGAGTATAACTAAGGACAACCCGAGATATGGTAAGTCAAAACCTTCAATTATTTGGGTATTTTATGTTAGATCCGCTTGAATGTTGTCGATTTAGGTGTTCTCGATTTAGGTTTTGTCGATTTAGGTGTTGATTTCGTTTATTACTCGAGTATGTTGTAATTTGCGGTTGTTGGTTTTGTGTCAAGGAGAAGAGAAGAATGGTGCGTACAAAGAACGCAAGCTTTAACAAAGAAATATATCCAGTAGGTGAAGTCGAAAAGCCAACAGATGCAATCGTAGAAGAAGATGAGACTCGTCGAGATGATTCAGAAAAAACATAGTCAAATCCGGAATCAGATTCTGGGGATTCAACGGTATGTACAACTTGGATATAATGGTACAACTTGTGTGAACTCGTTTTTTTTTTTACTAAGAAATTGTATAACTA